AAATATTTGATTGGCACACACTTCGCTCAGGAACCTTTCCATTTGTGCGGTGAACAGTGCCAGTAATCCTGCTCCCCACACAGCCTCTTGTGTGCTTGGGAAAGCAAGGGGGTGTGGGTCACAGCAGAGGCTGCAGATCTGGGATGCTCACAAACTTGTTCTCCATTTACCATTCACGTGTTCATCCCATTGAGGAACAAATCATGTCCCCTTTGGCCTGAGAGGAAGGTGCAGCAGGAAGGGCAGAATCGAACATGGAGCCCCTTCTTGCTCTGCCCACAACAGTTCGCTCTCTCTGCCAGAGAAGTTAGACAGGACAGGGCTTGCTGGGCCTGGGCCCATTTTTCCTACATTCCAGGCCATGAGAGCTCCAAACCTAGAAGGTCCTGGCAACACCGAGTTGAAGAGTAAGACTAAGTTCCGTGAGCAAGGCTAACATTCATTTAACTTAACAACCTACAGAGATCAGATGGTTACAGGAAGAAGGTTAAGTTAGCCTAGAAGTGATGATGATGGTGAATAACATTTTTTGAGCACCTGCTATATGATGCTTTTAAGGTTCCTCCTTTACTGTGACATGGGAACTGTTTTTAAAATGAAGAAACAGAGGCCTGTGGGGAAGTAACTTCCCCAGGGGGACAAGGAACTAATGAACAGGGAGCTGCACCTACACCTCTCTGATCCGCATGACAGGCTGTGTGAATCCAGTACTTTCTTTCTTTCTTTCTTTTTTTTTTTAAGATTTATTTATTTATTTTAGAGATAGAGAGAGAGAGCACAAGTGACAGGGGCAGAGGAAAAGGGAGAGAGAATCTCAAGCAGACCCCGTGCTGAGTGTGGAGCCTGACACGGGGCTCGATCTCACAACCCTGAGATCATGACCTGAGCTGAAACCAGGAGTCTGAATTGAAACAAAGAGTGAGACACTTAACTGACTCCACCACCCAGGTGCCCCTCCAGTATGTTTATTTTATCAGTTCTTGGGGGGAAACCACCATCATCTTATTGATGTCAGGGGTGGTAGTGGTATATGAAAAGAGTCTTAGAAGAGGAAGCTTCCTTAGAAGCAGCAGCTATGGACCCCTTTCAACTTTCCCACTTACTGAGTGATCACAGGCCCTATTAGCTCAGTGTCTACAGAGTGATGATTATTCATAACTTTGTGAGATTATGGTTAAGTGGAAATGCAGGACTCTAACACAATACCTGGCATTTATCAGGTGCTCAATAAGTATTTACTGAATCTGTTGTTGAACTTGAATTTATCTGCCACCAATACAATTCATTTACTCATCAAATTCATATTTATTGGGTACTATGCCAAGTGCCAGTCAATGAACTACACACAAAATTGGATTGTTGAGCTCTAACAGACAAAGTCCCCATCCTCAGGGAGCCTAGTGGGGGCAAAAAGCATTAAATACTCACACAAGTGAGTGTGATTATAACTACAGGGAAATATGCATGGCACAAGAGGCACTCCTCAAATGTTCTGTGTCTGAAATGGAACTGGTCATCTTTCCCTGGGCCTGTTCCTCTTCCAGGATCCTCCCTCTCAAGGTGAGGCCACCATCTGCCCATGTCCCAAAGGAAAGCCATAGGGGTCCCCATGAACCTTCTTGCAACTTAACATCCATTGCCTTGTCTCGTGGTCTGCAGATCTTGACTCTGATGTTTCCTGGCTTTCCTAGAATGGCGTTATAACATCTTCAAAGCCTGTATGGATCATTGCTTACAGCTGTGATTTGAGGAGCTTTGGGAACGTTTTACTCAGGCCTACATTACAGTGGCCAGTGCACAAACACCTGTCATAGGTTTATACTACTCCAAGAGAGGCCTTGTGTTAGGTACTTGGAAACTTACTCTCCTGGAAGTAGGAAGAAGATAAGTTTTGAAAACACTCCAGTTTTGCCCAGGGCAGATCTGCTGGTTGCAGACAAAGAGAAGCCACAAGAAGAGTTATTTTTTGCTTTGTAGAGCTGGAAGACATGCAGTTCTACTTGGTATGATTTATGTAGATTTATTTCAATATTTGATTGGGTTTCATATATATTCTTCCTGACGGAAGTCTTAGAGTATGGCTCTGTGCCTGTGACCACAATCTCTAGTCATGCTCAAACTAATGATCTAGGAATAGAAACCATCCCCTTGCCGGACCATGCTAATCAGTAAACCAAGGTCATTTACTCTCTCTGACCCTGCCCTGTCCAGATTGATTCTGATTCAAAATAATCTGTGAAATGAAGAGGGTGTGTGACAGTACCACCACTGGGCAGTAGATGGCGACAGAAGTACACTCAGCGTGTAGAGAGTCCTGTTGCCTGCCGGATCGTTTAAGACCTTTCAGCCTTTTCAGACACACAGAGCAGTGTCATTGTTCCCATTCCCCAAGGTGAGGAAGCTGAGTCTCAATATTATTCCCAAGGTTAGACAGCTGGGAACACTGGAGACATCTACATTTCTAGACAGGAGGGGTGATTGGAAGGGTCTTCGGGCGGGGGAACTTAACGTTTATTTTGCAGAGCATTTTATGCAAAATGGGGAAAATGGTCATTGTTCAGTGCTGTCCCAGTTAGAAAGGGACAGTGCAAGAATATGAACTCAAGCTTTCTGACTCCAGATCTAGGGCCCCTTGAGTCTGGGGCGAGTATCTGCATTATCCTGTCCTCTTGGCACTGATAAGTACAGAGATGGATTTCTGCTCACTCACCCCACTTAACTCTGATTTCTGTCCCCCTTGGCCCTTGTTCTTAGTTCTGGAGTAAATAAATAGGTGAACACAACTCTGAATGTTGCCAGACAGGCCCTGAATCAAAACATGAATCTAGACTCTTGACCTTCCTGGGAGATAATATTACAGAAAATATGAAGGGAAGGTCCTCAAATATTATACTGTATTTCCACTTGCTGAGTTGAATAGTTGGAAGCTTTGAGGTGATGATGATGATGTCAGCAATATTGTACTGAGCTGTTCCCATGAGTCAGGCACTGTGCCGGGGACTTTAACTCGATCATCTCATTTAATCCTCCTGAGAAACCAGCGAGGCAAGTTGTTTTATTCTTATCTTACAAGTGAGGAAAGTGAGGCCAGAAAGATTATGTAATTATAGCCCAGGTTCACTTGGCAAACAGTTGTTCCAGCATTACTGGGATGTAGACCTCCTCACACCCACTCCTACAGCTTTGTTGTGCTGCATTCCAGGGGTTCCTGATGTCCTAGGTCAGGCGGCTGAATCCACAGCACTTTCAGAAGTTGTCCGAATGTTATATACCCGGAATGCAGTCAGTAGTATTAATGATGGAGTGACAACAATGAAATAAAATGCCATTTGTATAGAAATTCCAGTACTTGGAAGTCCTAACTGTAGTGTCTCATTTCCCAGAATTCAAGATGTCCCAGAAAAGCCAGCCTAACCCTGAGGAACACGGTATCATGCTTGTCTTTCCCCAGGGATTCTGAGCACCAGAGAGCATTCCCAGTAGTTCAGAAGATGGGTAAGACTTATCAGAAACATTTAAAATCCTGGAGGAATCAAAGCTTCTTTCCCTTGTGTTATATGGGGTAGATCACACAAATTGTGTAGCTTGCCTCACACAGTGGACTACAATCTAAGTCCATTTGTTCACAGTAGATGTTACTTATATACATGTATATGTTTAATGTACTAAACAGAGTCCTTTTTGCCTCACTCTGGTACCTAGTTTTCATCAAATACAAGGCGTTCACTAGGCCCACTTGAAGACAAGCTATCAAAACAACCCCCCCCAAAAATCTGACCCTGCAGCTAGAAGGCCCAACACCAGCCTTCCTGCTCTTTATCTCAAGGGTATGCCTGGTGAGTGGGAAGGAAGAGATTGCCTTCTGCTTCATAGATGGCAGCTTCCGACCCCAGGACCTTTGCATTTAAAAGTAGAGTGAACACCACTGAGGTGGTCATTTCTGCTTACAGCCTGCAACTTTTGGTGCATATTACATGACTAATTAAGACTATTTGGTAAATCACATCAAGGTCAGTATTTTGCATTCCATTTTACAGCCTGTTCTGTAGAACCTCACTTTCCACCTCTGCTGTTACTGTGCATCTCTTGGTTTCCTCTACACTTTTCTTTTCTTGATTCGCAGTGTGCTTCACCCATCAGATCACTGACTCTCTAAGCAGGAACTTAGGACTTTTGGCTTCTCCACAACAGCTAATGCCTCAGTGGTCTCAGGGACTCCCTGATAACAACCCAAAAGGGCCCAGACACCTAATGTCAAACAGACACACCACCGTGAGAAGTACTAAAGCAGAAGGAAGAGGTTTTTATTCTTAGAGAGTCACGGAGATTCTTTTCCCTCAAGTCATACCTCAATTTATCAACACCATCTGAGGGCTAAGCTGGCAGGAGAGCCTGAAAGAGAGAGCCTTTGGCTCCCACTGCTCCCGCTCTCCAGTTTCTATAGGGTATGGAGAATGACTTTACCCCTCCCAGTTACCACAGCCCCATCTGCGTGATACGTAGAGTGAGCGCTGCATAATTTATGATGTGTAAGACTATGATTATGAACTAGGATTTCACAGATCAGGCCTGGTGGGAGCATAAGCTGGAGAGTCCGTGACCATGAAACTGAGCCCAGGTCTTTGTGAAGGGTTCACTGCTCCTCTGCCCCTTGTGGCTCGTCCTGTCAGAGAACAGGCAGGGCCCTCACCAGCCTTGGGAGCCAGGCCTTTCTTCACTAGTGCCAGAAACCCACAGCAGTTGAACAGTGGAAGCCATATCTGCTCTCAAAGCAGTTGCGTTAGGACAACAGAGAGCCCTTTTAAAACTTGGTATAGGACCCCTTTAGTTAGGCTGGACCTCTCACAATGTGTTATTTTCTTCACCTAGACCCTGGACACAAGCTTCTGAGTGTGTCAGGCAGAGAAAGGGTACCCATATGTAGACAGCCTCCCCACTCGCCTCCTTGACTGAGAAAGACACCAGGAAGGCAGGAGGCTGCAAGAGGGATGGGTGCTTACTGTGCAGGTCGCTCCTGTCCCTTGTGCCGTCCACTGTGCCATCTGGAAGGATCCTCAGGAAGTGGCCCCCGTTGCTACAGTAGAGGAGTTTGGGCTTCTTGTAATTCCCCACAGGCAGATTAAACTTCTCCATCAGGGCGGTGAAGGTTGTGATTTCCCCTTCAGCCATGGCTCAGCGGCTACTGGTTATGGTGCTTTCAAGGCTGTAAGAAATCAGACAACCCTGTAGAATGTCCTTCCGGTGAAGGGGACGCGTACCCTTTCCAGCAGGGAAGGAGAGCCTCAAGGCACGGGGCTCCCGGTTGGTCAGTAGCCACAGACAGCCCAGGTGATGGCCACTGGAGACGGTCCTGTGTGGTGGGCAGCAGTGAAGGAAGAAAGGTCTCTGGCCTGGGAGGGATTTTCAGGACATTTCTTACTTCCCAATTGGACACAGCTTTGGACCAGGCTGTGCATTTTTTAGAATTTCAAATTTAATCACTTGGCCAAGGGGGAAAAAAAAAATAATGTTTTGGTCCCTCCTTCTGATCCACACATATCCTCAAATTAAACACTGGAGTGGCACTAAAATAACACCTGGGCCCTGGCTGAAACCCACAAAAGCCGAGTGGCCGGCACTGAGGTTTTGCTGTCCATCCTCCCACTGTTTTGGCTGGGGACTGCCGGCCCCGTGGACATAGACAACTCTGACAGTCTGACTGTTGGGGACCTGAGAAAAAGGGATGGAGGCCTTGCAGACCACCCACGATAGGGACGATGAAGCGTTCATGCATAAAGGGTTTGCTGGTGGGAACAGCACCAGAATGGGGAACAAGCCTATGGTGGGCGTTCCGTGGGGGTTCTAAAGGGCAGACGCCACACCAAAGGAAACCTGATGAGACAGATCATGATGAAGGGTCTGCCGGTTATCCTTCCCCAGCTTTCCTTACCTCCTAATATCACACAGAGAAGGCAGGTCTGTCCCTTGTACAAAGGCTATCTTCCTCCTCGTTATTTTCAAATGAGACCTACTTATTCTGATGAGGAAACCGCCATATTACACAGTATAATCCTCTCATAATGTAGACACCCACTCTGTCGAGATTTATACCATCAGTGTAAAGATGTATCAGTGCCACAAAGCTAAGTTTTAAGAAGCAAAAGTAATGAACATTAGAATTTTAAAACCTCTTCTTGCCCCACCATTTAGGAGAACAACGCGTTAGCCACTACAGGGCTACTCAGGGAAGAGGCAAAGAGCTGGAAGATGACTTCAGGAGCTTCCTAACAAGAGTGAGCAGGTGGTGGTTGTGCACAGTGATTATCCAGGGGCCTTGTAATAATCATGACCATCATCATTCACGCCTCCTCCATTCACGCAAGCAAGTTAGCTTGCGTGACATTCCTTAGTACTTTTTAAGACAGACACTCATATTATCCCCATTTTTTCTAAAATGATGCTGAAGCTTTCAGATGTTCGATGGCCTCTCTAAGATCAATACCTTCTAGGTGGTGGTGCCGAGCCTCAAAAGGAGTGTGTTGAGGGCGCCTGGGTGGCTCAGTTGGTTAAGCAACTGCCTTTGGCTCAGGTCATGGTCCCAGAGTCCTGGGATCAAGTCCCACATTGGGCTCCCAGCCCCATGGGGGGTCTGCTTCTCCCTCTGACCTCCCCACTCATGCTCTCTCTCACTCTCTCTCCCTCTCTCAAAATAAATAAGTAAAAATCCTTTAAAAAAAAAAAAAAAAAGGAGTGTGTTGAAACAAAACCATCACTTGCCCTTAACACCAGGAAAAGGTGAAGAGACTTCACTGATACTGTATCATTGCTGGAAGTGGGATTTTTACCTCTTGTGTGGCACAGACATCTACTCCCATGAGCTTGTTATGCATTAAGTTATTAATTTGTGACCCAGATGTTGGTTTTCACCAACTTTTGTCCCCATGTCAACCTTGAAGCGAGATTCCAGGCATATTGTCATTCCCTGGAGACCCGACAACACCAGGCATTAGGGAGACTGCCAGTCTTCTGCATGCCCTGCATTACTAACCATCCACCCATGCTTCCATGCATCCATCCTTCCATCCATCCATCCACCCATCCTTCCATGCATCCTTCCTTCCATCCATCCATCCACCCATCCATCCACCCATCCTTCCTTCCGTCCATCCATCCATCCACCCATCCATCCACCCATCTATCCATCCATTCTTCCATCCATCCATCCATGCATCCATCTATCCTTCCATGCATCCATCCATCCCTCTATCCATCCATCCATCCATCCATCCTTCCATCCATCCATGCATCCATCCTTCCATCCACCCATCCTTCCATGCATCCTTCCTTCCATCCATGCATCCATCCTTCCATCCACCCATCCTTCCATGCATCCTTCCTTCCATCCATCTATCCACCCATCCATCCATCCATCTATCCTTCCATCCATCCATCCATCCATCCATCCATCCATCCATCCATCCACCCACCCGCCCATCTATCTATCCATCCATCCTTCCATCCATCTATCCATGCATCCTTCCATCCATCCATCCTTCCATCCATCCATCCATCCTTCCACTCATCCATCCTTCCGTCCATCCATCCTTCCATCTTTGCTTCCTTCCTTCCTTCCATCCTCCATCCATTCCCAGGGCGGCCTCACAGAACTGCTCACATGGAAAGCAATTCCATCACAAGTCAAGGCAACAAATTTGAGTAATTTTTCTGGTGACTTTGGAATTAGGGTTCGTGCTGGAAACCTCTCTTGTTTCTTTTGCTCCAGGCATTTTAATGTCTGTGGTCCATGTCTTTTAGTCTGCAGTCACAGGGGCCAGTCACGGACCCCAGGTTCAGCCGTGCTTTGTAGTTCCTCTAACAGCCCCAAAAGGGAATTCTGCATATGCTACATAAACTGTATTTAAAGTCAAGCCATCCCAAATATCCCCTTCACATATGGTCAAACTCTGTCTAGCTCTTTTCAGATAGTATAGTACCAGATCGAAGATGTTCTTTATATATCTGCAGACTTTACCTTGTGGGGCATATTGCATTTCCTTCCCAAATTCACACTCTCTCTTCCAAACCTTCTCATTCATCCAAAAGCCTCTACATCCATGGGCCCACCTCTCCCTCTCATGGTTTCTTTTTCTGTCTGCTTAGCCCTTTTTCACTCAACCTCTCAATTTCTCTCTCATTCCACTTCCTCACTCCCCTTGCTTCTGGATCCCCTTCTGATATAAAGCAGTTTAGTTCTTCCAAACGTGGACATCTTTACCCATCACCTCTTCATTAACATGCAACAGTGATCAGATCCCGGTGCCTTAAAGTATAGCCAAGAGATAATAAGTATTTTTTTTCCCTCCCAAGCACTTGCTAAGTTGTATACTTAATTTGGTACAGGAGACAATAATTATATACTGGTGGTTGCTATTTAACTGTACGAATAGCTATTCGTATTGCCGGTCTTTGGTGGACAGGATTTTGTTTCTCATTGTCCCTGGGTTTCCTCAAGTGGAGGTCCCTGTGTGCCCCTGACTGTGTGGGTATCAAGGATGGTTCCCTTCTAGATCTAGCATTGGTGGGGAGTCTCCATTGAGTTGTTTTCTAAGTGCTGGTATGGATTTGGCTCTATCCATTTGCCTTCTTGCTTCTATCCCCTTGGTATGAAGGGGGACCAGAAAGACCAGAAGGCTCCTGAGGTTGGAGGCTCCATCTCTGGCCAAGGGTTGTCATAATGCTCACATTCTCATGTACGTCTAAGCCTGACAGCCTGGGCTTGATCACTATGGAGATCTTCCCAGGTAAACAACCTTGTCCAGAGGCCAGCAGGTCCTCAGGTATCCCTCTCCTCCCAACCACAGTGCACCCTGCAGTTATAAAGCCACAACTCTGCTCTCTGACTGCTCCCTCCAATAAGAGGGACAGTCATGGGGGTGGCTGTACTGACTTCTAATTGCTCTCACCACCCTGCAGTTCACATCCTTAGCTGGAAACCTGAGGAGAACACGTTGACTCCTGAAACTGAGCCTTGAGTCAACATGAAGCTGATAGACTATGGCAGTGGGATTTATGAATCAGCTGAAACATACAAAAAATGAAATCCTTTTTTGCTGCTGAAGAAAACCCCAGAGGCACAAAAAGCCTTTATTTTTTTGGCTTTACTTACAATTTACCTATATTTTAAGCAGTAGTTAGTCCTAAGTTCCTTGCCTACTCAGGATTCCTTAAAAGAAAGGAGTAAAGGAAGCCTATGACATGATAAAAAACCATTAAGCAATAGCCTTTACGGGCCCTTGGGGATTTTCACAAATTGTTCTAATGAATGAATCCATTAATCCATGACTACATGAAATCAGGCGTTAACCATAATGGAAATTTATAAGTTCTGCTTCTTGTGACTATTCTTTTTTTGTTGGCTGTCAGGGGTGGGGCTTATCTGTGTATATCCGTTGAGGGATGGAAAAAAATCAAGCCCCGTGGACTCTATGTCATCCCTGTGTGCTGAGCCCAGCCCTTTGAGATTTGGGGCGCTGGTGACATTTTAGGGAAAGCCAGATTTCTTGACTTACCAGTGACAACAAAGTGAGGGCAGTGTGATGCTTGTTGGAATATCTGTGCTAAGACTACCATATTTCGTCATCTGTAGCTACTCAAAAAGAACCTGAGCTCTGACGCATGAACAGGATGGTAAATATACGGGCCTGCCCAGCAACACAACAGTCACTTTTCAATCTGGGGTAATGAGTAACACCATATGGCCCCAGCTATGCAGAGGTTGACTCTGGGAACCTCGGCGAATCATTCACTCCTTCTGAGATGTTTCTTCTAATAATCCCCATCCTGTCTACCTCATAGAGTTGTCTGAAGGGTTAATGGGCACAGTATACATAGCACTTGAAAAGTACGAAAATGTGACCTGACCTGTAGGAGATACGAATAACTGGTTCTCTTGAACTAGTTGAAGCCCGGTGTGGTTTAGGTTAATCAATGGCCATCGAATGCTTAATTTAAAATAATTTTTCAGTTGGTATGCAAATAGAGTTTTTCATTCCCTGTCATATTTGGGAGAAATTAGCTAAATTCCTTCCCCATCATTTAAGCCATAAGCATAGCAGAGAGGATGAAGGAGGTGAAGGTAAGCCATGGTTATGTAAGAGAGAATCCAGATCCCCATTTTACACTCAGTTCTCGGCTTATCGACAGTTGTTGAAATGACATTATGAA